GTGTTCAGCTCGAGCCGTGCACAAGTTACCCATAGCGAATTCTTGTGATATCCTCGATACAGAAAACTGTTATGACGGCTAGGTGAAGTGTCTCTTTTCTTCTGGCCATCCCTGTATGCGTGGAGGGAAGCTGACTCTGAGCACAGTTCCTTTTACTACTGGGAGACTATTGCCGCTCTCTAATTCTTACCGGACCAATACCTAGGTATCACGATGGCGAGGTTTATTTAAGTCACTTACCCAGAGCGTTCGAATTGATTCAGATCAAGCATCTTTCAAGAACTAATTCCTCATGAAAAGCTTCACGCTTTATGTGCCATCTTCACGTATAAAGAAAGTTTTCATGAGTACGCCTCATTTTAGGAATATTCATGTGCGAAGTCGGCTTTCTCTGTTCCTAATCTTCAAATTTTCATCCCGCATAAGTTGCGACAACTTGTTATAACGATCACACTGCTGTGCTGCCTTGCATTTTTGGCTTGTGTAACTTGTATAATAGTATCTTTCAAATTTCTACGCGAAAATGGCAGTATGTCGCAAAAAACAAAACAGATGCAGAAACGTTTTCTTGTTCAGCTATCTATTCAGGTGTAAGTAAACTTGATGTTACCGATATTTTGATTCTCTTATTAGTCATATTCAAATATCCCATAGAGAAAGATTAAAACTGATGATGTTCTTCTATAAGAGGCCGCACATCCGAGTTCCATTCTGCATCTTGGAATGGGACTCGGATGTGCGGCCTGCCGGCATGACTCATACGTCTTACTTGAAGAGCTCCTCATCCCTTTCGTCGAGGGCATCGGCCACCCAGAATGCCCAAACTGCGACAGCTTGTGGACTACGCGTTACCTAAAAAAAACTCATAAAAAGTCACAAATCTGTGAAATCGTATGTTACATTTAGATATCGATACCAGTCTTAAGTATGGTGCTACCAATTGTTTCACTGATGTACATTTTTGGAACAACAAACAATACGAAAAGGAGTATATTCCTTCACAATTTGCGCAAAAATCAAAGAAAAAATCCAATGATAGGTTAGAGAGTTCATCGTCTTCAGTTATGTCTGAAGGTGCTTCAAAAACGAGGAGTTAAGGCCACCGATCAAGAATGTTTCGTACAGCTAAGTTTTGGAAAACCAAAGACACTAAAACCAACATTAAAAGATTTACTATTTCCGTCCAGGCCGTTTAAAAACAGCAATTTCATAATCAGAGTTCGGAAACTTCATGTTAGCTCTACTTGGATCACATGGTTGTTTGGCTTGCTACAACACTGAGGATTGTGGACAATGCGCCTTACCGAAAATTCGTTACGAGTCCACTGACAAATCGTGAGCTTTTCCTATGACTTATTCGTATGCTTTTTCTATGATGATTTAATCACAATGAAAACCCTTACTAATACATGCACTTTATTCGGGCACTCCACGAATACAGCACCTAGCTATGAATAACGTCAAGCTAAAACCCTCTTCAGAGTTGGCCGCTTACGTGAGGGCGAAATAAAATGGTATAAATTCAAGATTCAGGATAGAACAGGTGTGGAAAATCCAATTATGAGAAACTGAGGTGGGAGGTGGTCTGCAAAAGAGAAGGAAAGCAAACGAAACCACCGATTACGCCCCGCACAGAGACCTCCCTATTTTCAGCCGCATCTCACCTTGGGATAGAGAAGAGGGCGCGTTGGACGAGTTTCACAAACCTAACTCTAGTTGCTCCGTGCCAATTGAAACTACGATGGAACTGCTGCCGCGACTGCGCCCTTTCAACAAGCGCACGTGACAACCAACATGGGTGGCAGGATGGGCCTCGCGGACAAAGGTATACGTGTAGACTTTGCTACGCTTCGCTCTTGCGATTTCCCGCTCATCCGATTCTCACATTGATACCTACCAAACTCTTGGCAATTCGCCTACGCCGACGCGCTGTACTCCGGCGTTTCACTGACTACCCAACTTCCCAAAATCAATGCCTCTCCAGAGCTGACGGAAGCCTCCCAGTTTATTCGCTGCGAGTGGGGGAATTCGGGATCAGGGCTTAGCGCCATTACAGCGGCGCCCGCCCCCCCCGCCCCCCCGCAAAATTGCCAAGTTCGAGGTCAATATAAGCGGGCTAGCCTTCAGGTGCATAAGCAGTTTTTCCCTTTCACCAACACCTATTTTTTCTATCATCTGAAGTTGAAACATTTCATTTTTTCACTTATTGATCACTAATTCAAGCAAAATTCCCAGCAGTGTTTTTGCTTTCGATAATAACGGGGTGGAAAAGATACACTAGCCTTAGTCAAGAACATTCGAAAAGTTATTGAACAAAAAACCCACCTTAGAAAGCCGATAGGAACTAGTAGAACGCTCTCGAAGTGGGCGGGACTTACAAATCGGTGGACGTATGCATAGTCGATCGTCCGATTGTGACGTTGCAAAAACCACAAAACGCGCGATGTCGCCAAAGTGCTAACCCACCTGCCTTGAAATATTCTTCGCAGACTGAAAAGGTCTGCTAGACAAGGTGTTCTGGTAGGCCTCCTTGAGCTCAACGGTGATGGAGATGACGTCATATTTTGAGGACGGTGAGGGCAGTGAAGGAGGGCCTGCTTCTGCTTATGGGATCTAAGGATATTTTGCCGTAAAACTTTCATCAACAACGGCACTCCTGTGCGACGAAAAGTTTGATGATGTGCGCCATGGGCAAAGTGTCTCTTTTTTGGCCACCCCTGTAGATGTGCCATGAATGGCTATGAGAAGATCCTCGCAAGAAGTGAAGCATTCATGTGTGACAAGGGTTGGAGAATTTAGCTTCTGGTCAGCTGCCAATGGCGGTACGTACCAAAAGAACTGCTATGCCTACGCATTCCGATTTCCTTCCCGCAACTCATCAAATTCGTGAACTGTGTCGTTGCTCAGGTGTTGGGAGAAGAGAATCTGGATCTGGCTAAACTTTCAATTTTATTTTCCTTCACATTCAAGGGCT